CCTGGGATCGAGTCCCACATCGGGCTCCCTGCTCGGCGGGAAGCCTGCTTCTCCCTCTCCCACTCCCCCTGCTTGTGTTCCTGCTCTCGCTATCTGTCAAATAAATAAATAAAATCTTTAAAAAAATAAATAAATAAATAAATAAATAAAAGCCAGATAAAAAAAAAAGCCAGATCTTATATACTCCCAGGCATATATGTTCTCAAAATTAACTCTAAGGTGGAGCACTTGATTCTGACTGTAAAAGGTGGCAAGTATGATAGCCATAGCACGCTGAGGATGCCAGCTAGAAGCCATCACTAATACCCATGAGCGTCTATTCCCACCAGCGAGTTGTTTATTAGTCAGCTGTGTTTCCCCTAAGCCTTACTATGTCAGTTGTAGGTCTTTTTTAAATAACTTCATTAACTACTATATAAACTAATGAAATGAGGGGCGCCTGGGTGGCTCAGTCCATTAAACAGCTGCCTTCGGCTCGGGTCACGATACCAGGGTCCTGGGATTGAGCCCCACATCAGACTCCCTGCTCAGCGGGGAGCCTGCTTCTTCTCCCTACTGCTCCCCCTACCTGTGCTCTCTCTGTCAAATAAATAAAACCTTTAAAAATAATAAACTAATGAAATGAATGTGAGAGTGCCTATTTTTGTAAAAATTAAGTTGAATGCTTTAGAAAGACTTCATAGAAAGTCGTATTACAAAAAAGAAAAACCTCAGAACACTAATTCAAAGGGATACATGCACCCCTATGTTTATAGCAGCATTATTTATAATAGCCAAGATACAGAAGCAGCCCAAGTGTCCATCAACTGATAAATGGCTAAAGATGTGGTATATATATACAATGGAATATTATTCAGCCATAAAAAGTGAAATCCTGACATCTGCTATGACATGGATGGAGCTAGAGTGTATAATGCTAAGTGAAGTAAGTCAGAAAAAGACGCCCTATGATTTCACTCGTATGTGGAATTTAAGAAACAAAACAAATGAGCAAAGGGAAAAAAATGAGAGAGTGGGAGACAAATCAAGAAACAGACTCTTAACCAGAGTACAAACTGATGGTTACCAGAGGGGAGGTGGGTGGGGGGATAGGTTAAGTACATGATGGAGATTAGGAGTGCACTTGTTGTGATGAGCACAGGATGATGGTTGAATCACTGTATTAATATACACCTGGAACTAATGTAACACTGGATGTTAACTAACTGGAATTAAAAAAAA